ACACACACATTTTGCACACTTCTTTCACACAAACATACTTTTCAAAAAGCAAATAAATAAATAAATGAAAAAAAAATCATCTGTCCTTTTGGCTTTGTGTTGCATAATTAATAACCCGTTTTCTTCTTTGACTTAACAGCAAATAAAATTTGTGAAGAGACTAATTAAAGATGCATTGCATTGTGGTTTTGTACCTCATTAAAATGACAATGTGCATAATGTAACATGTGGTGTTATTCACACCATGGACTTACCCAATGTTGTTCTGGACTATTGCATCAGCTTTAATGTGTAGAGGCACAATCCAGTAAAACAGAAATGTGAGATGAGTTTAAAAATAGCAAATGTGTACATAGCACAGAGTTTACATGTGCTTCTCACTCATAAATGTATTCTATAATGAGTCTTTGTAGAGATGTTGGATAATATTGTTTCATTAATTGTTTCATAGCATTATTTTTTAATAATTTTTTGCATTCAGCTCAAAGCAAAGTACTACTACTACTACTACTACTACTACTACTACTAATAATAATAATAATAATAATAATAATTATTATTATTATTATTATTATTATTATTATTATTATTAAAGCATTGTACAGTATTGTATGCTAAAATTGCTGAAGGCCAATCTGAGAGTCACCTATCAAATGTAATATTTTATTGTAAATATAATCATTAATTTAGAGAAACACTTATATTAATATGTTTAGAACTTTTGAAATCCATTGCACAAACCACAAATGTCCACACATTAGAGTAGTATTAACAAAATTCACCCATAGTTTAATAGTTCAATACAACCATATGCAAACTTTTAAAATAAGCCCAATGACACTTGAGTAACATTGGCATTTGCATTATTGAAGTCAAAGCCTTTAGGTTTAAAAATGTGCAAATTGTCTTCTACTGCATGATGGTGAATAATAGCATCAGTGCGTTCTTCACACTATGCTATTGTTTAGCTTCAGGAGCCAAGGACAATTTCACACAAGTTACATGGACTTTATAAAACTTTTTATAGTGTCTCACAGCCCCTGGTAACTTTCAGCGTTTGTTGCACTGAAAAGAATAACTGGCAAATTTACATATTCTTCTAAACATTGTATTTTGTGTTCCGAGAATAAATTCAATCATGCAGGTTTGGAACGATGCGAGTGAATAATTGATGACAGATGACTGAATTCTTTCACCTTGTTAGCTCAGGAGAGCAGCCGGTCTTGCAATGTAGACTTGTGAATTTGCTCATTCTTCTACTTGGAAGTACGATTGTGTTGTCTGCCTTATGTTTCTGTATTTTCAATATTTTACTTATCTTTTATTCAATGTATACAGTAAGTTGAAAAAAAATCAAAAGGGGGCTAATAATTCTGACTTCAATTAAATATATATATATATATATATATATATATATATATATATATATATATATATATATATATATATATATATATATATATATATAGCACACACACACACACACACAAACACATATTGTGTATATATATATATATACACAAACAAACATGAAAAGTCTCCTTGTTGTGCAAAATCCTTTTGCACGAGGAACTACTTTCTGCCACTATTAATTCACATCTGCAGCTGAAGAGCTGACAGAATAGCAGAGACCGTTGCTATATCACCAACGTCACTTTAGAGCTAGTCTTTAAATGATTCTCTACAGCAAAATCTAAAGTAATGGCAAAACAGGTGATTCTGCTCACATTTTAAGATTATAAGGCTGAACAGCATGAAATGCCATCTGTCTACAGATATGTCTCACTATTTCTCTGTTGCAATCAGGATATCACAATAATTACCCTAAAATAGCCAAAGCAAAGCAAACACTACCAGATTACTATGATATAAAAACAGCATTTCTACATACAAAAAAGAGATTGACTTAGAATGTCACCTGTTCTATAATGATTTAATCAGCTGTAGGTTGAAACTCATGCTGAGTTTTTTTTCCTCTAAGGACTTATTATATGGTCTCTGAACGTCAACCGTCTTTGCTCAATCGTACATGCTGAATCTCAGAAATTATAAATATTTAAAATAGGCATTACCCTTTTAAATAAACTGCATAGTTGCAATATTGATAACACTTTATTTTGATGGTCCATTTGAGCATTAGTAGACTGTCTGCTTAGTGTCTGTTGATACTCCTTTAACAGACATTTAACTGACTATATGAAACTTTGCAAGTACATGTAAACTAACCGTAACCCTAACCCCAACCTAACAGTCTACTTTTAATCTAATGCGAATTAGTTTGTATTAATTAGCATGTAAATGCAATGTAACCTAAATTCAACAATTGGACCATCAAATTAAAGCGTGACCCATATATTTTATACATTTGAAATCCAAATATGAACTTGCGTGTCATACCGTCACCTTAGAATTATAAGGTTCTATCAGCGTTCTGAATGATTTTAAGATATTGAGCTTCAAAGTTTCTGCATTCCATAGCAAACAGTATGAGTGTAACTTTTTTTTTTAATAAAAAGTTTTAAAATTTAAACAACTTAAAAAAAACTTAAAAAAAATAAACTTCTTATAATGGAAATAAGTTGTCATTTTATAAGAATATGTCAATAACTTAATTTTAACAAAAATGTCAGATAAAACCTTATAATTCCAAGGTGACGATATATGTAATTTCCATATATCGGCATATACCTAGTTTTTCTATCTGAAATTGAAGCTGTATTAATAACAATGACAACAGTTCTGGCTATGACAGATAAAGTATCAAAGGAAACCTGAACTTTCCTCACACCTATTTGAATTATGCAGTTTCGGGAAAGTCAGTTCTTGTATAGGAGTGTGTTCTGCTTTTGAACTGATGAGAAAGCTGAGAAAATTCTAAACATCAGCTCAAAGTATGAAACAAAGTATTGTGTAAAGACATTATAAAGACTGATGGCCTTTACCTTAACAGTAAAACTTGTTTCCCTTGACAGTCCTCAATGATGCCCTCATCTTGAACTCTTGATATGGTTTGAGTAGAAGAGAGCCGTTTGTGCGCGCACACACACACACACACACACACACACAAACACACACACTGCTGGCCTGCGAGCCGTGAGCCATTAATGAAATATTTATACAGCTTTTATGAGACTCTGATGCGATCTCTCCATCAGCCGGAAGAAAAGGAAGCTTTATTTATCACTTCCTGTCAAGACAAATTGAGGCAATAGCATGAGAGAGTCCATGCAAAATAGAACACAAATCTTAATCTTTTATGGTCTTGCACATGGAATTAAGACATGTTTTCTTAGAGTGCATCTTATGTATTCCATTAGCATCAAATGTGTATCATATATGTATATAAGATTTACCATGCAATGTTTGTGTTTGATATTATCATGGAAGTTCTTAAAAGAAAAAAAGAAAAAAAAAAGAAAAAACACAACTCCACAGAGTTAAACAGTTAAGTTTAACCATTTTTAAATTAATTTAGTCAATCTGCTGATGTAACAGGAGATTTTTAAGCTTAGTTTAGCTTAGCATAGATTCTTGAATCAGATTAGACAACTTGTTCAACAAGGGGCAAATGATTTTGATTATTTATGAAGCTTGTTTTTTTTTTTTTTTTTCCATTGTGTACCAAGGCCAACAGACAATGAAAAGTTACTATTTTCTAGGGCAATGTGGCTATGAATTGCAGCATAATGTCCAGCATAATCCTCCTAATCCAGCATAATAATTAAGGAAATTTGCTTGCATGGCTGCAGCAGGTATGATGATATTGCACAATTTGACATATGTAACAATAGAAGAGTCAAGCTTTAAATAGGTAAACTATTAAAACTTGTTGGTCTAATTTGATTCAATTGTATATGCTAAACTTAGCTAAAGCTTAGATATTTACATTAGATGTCACCATTCCTGTTGTTCTCTATTGGAAGGAATGCTTCAGTAGAGCTGCTGTTTTAAAATAAAATAAAAAAATAATAAAAAATGTGGGACTAAGGTGTAGAGGAGGACTGGCCATCTGGACCCATAGATATGTAAACATTTGTACATATATCTATGATCGGGAGTTGTCCCGGTGTATGCAAATATTTTTTTAAATGACAAAAAATATAAATTGACTCTTTTCTACATTGATAGATACAAGTTTGCACAGGTATTGCTGACAATAAAGAGCATGTGCTTGTGTGCATGTAAATGTATTATCCTCTCTCCATGTTAAATGTGATCTAATCCATGTCCTGAAACACGTCTCCTGCTATCAGAGGAGAGAGCCATTTTTTTGTGAATGAGCAATTCGTTTAAACCTCTGCATCTCAATGTGTATACCCACCTTTCTGATCTAAATGGCATATAACATTTGTAGTATTCGGTAATTTAGGGTGGACATTAAACACAGTGAGTCACAGTCGCTGTTATGTTATCAAGCACCCTTAAGTTACTAGCTGTTACTTCACTTAGCCAACAATAATGCAAATTTCTGGCACTGCAGTGTCTTGTCATAATTCATGTGCATCGTTTTCTGATTGTATTCAACAAAACTAGCATAAGCTTAGAATTTGGTGCTAGTTTGTGCTTCCGTGCCTTATGGTCAATGCAGTAAATAATGACTGTATTATCATCAATAGCGTTACTTGTTTAGCACAAAAGTTTGTAACATACAAAAACTTAAAAAACAAAATCTTACCTATGAAATGTTCTGCCTTTATGCTTTGTTTTCTTTTGTTTAGTGCAGTTGAATGACATTTGTCCTGAAAGCACTGTACACATGTGGTGGTGCTATTAATGCATTCTCAGGCTCTGTATGCAATATCTGAATTCTGTATTTATCTATGAGCTAAAAGTGCTAACACCAGACCCAGAGATTGGTTGAATAAATAATAATTAATTACGGCAAAACTTAATTGATAAATAATCCGCCTATTTTCAACAATAGTTGTGTGTTTCTCTAAGCACTATGGTCATTCAGAACTATAATACATTTATATACTTTTCTGTGTTTTATCACACAGGGTGATGAGGTCTTGACTGTTATAAAAATGAAAGCACAATGGCCGGCGTGGCAACCCCTCAATGTGTAAGTAACCGATTTATTTAATATGTGTGCATGTATTTTCATGTGCTGATGATACATCTTTTCCTTTATATGCTTTCTTTAAAATACAAATCAAAATATTAAAAGTGTTGCTTGTTATTGCAATTTTTTTAAACCCATATATTCCATTTTAATTTACAACAGTGTGATTTGCTTATGGAATACAGGTTGTTTATCCTAGTGTAAAAACTTTTTTTTTTTTTTTTTCGGCACTTTCAACTCATAGTTCTTTGCTTTTGTCGCCCAACATGAAAATGTATGTGTGGTGTAGGCATAACTGACTTTTTATATGTTAATGAGTGTTTAAAAAGATTCTGATTATGTACAAGTAGCCTTTGTTTTGTGAATATGAAGCAAAATGCTAGATCAGATTCTATTAGATATGTTGAATCACCCCCAGGTGTAACATTTTTTTTCTATTTTTTTAAGACCAGTATAAATGTACAACAGTTTATTAAATGATAGTGTTGATGGTATTAGTTTTTATTGTCTGATAGTGCTCCCCTCATGAGAGAATGTCTATTATTCCTCAGATTTCGATGATGAAAAAAAAAACTCCCTCAGTGTTTTTGAATGTCATGTTGTAATAGTTTAAAATAAGTCTTATTTTCATTAGTGTTGGCTAACTTCAAAATAATGGCGAGGCAGTGGCGCAGTAGGTAGTGCTGACGCCTCACAGCAAGAAGGTCGCTGGGACGCTGGTTCGAACCTCGGCTCAGTTAGCATTTCTGTGTGGAGTTTGCATGTTCTCCCTGCCTTCGCGTGGGTTTCCACCGGGTGCTCCGGTTTCCCCCACAGTCCAAAGACATGTGGTACAGGTGAATTAGGTAGGCTAAATTGTCCGTAGTGTATGAGTGTGTGTGTGTGTGTGTGTGTGTGTGTGTGTGTGTGTGTGTGTGTGATTGTGTGTGTGGATGTTTCCCAGAACTGGGTTGCGGCTGAAAGTAAAAACTTGCTGGATAAGTTGGTGGTTCATTCCGCTGTGGCGACCCTAGATTAATGAAGGGACTAAGCTGACAAGAAAATGAATGAATGAATCTCGAAATCCCTATTCACTGCTCTGTTAAGGGACTCAAAACTCTAATTTCATGTGACTAAGCATGAATTCAATTCAAAGCATAAGTTCATTTCACAGGCATTTTAATATGTGGGATACCTGCATGATATGCTTTAAATGACATTCAGACATAGTGGGCAGTTTAGGGGGGACCTTACAGAAAGACAACCATCTCTGCAGCAATCCACCAATCCGGCCGGTATGGTAGAGTGGCCAGACTGGAGCCCCTCCCCACCTGGAATTTGCCAAAATGCATTTGAAGTACTCACATACCATAAGAAACAAAATACTCTGGTCTGATGAGTCTAAAATTGAACTCCGTGGAGTGAATGCAAGGCATTACATTTGGAGAAAACCAGGCACTGCTGATCACCAGGCTAATACCATCCCTACAGTGAAGCATGGTGGTGGCAGCATGATGCTGTGCAGATTTTTTTTTTTTTTCAGCAGCAGAAACTGGAAGACTTGTCAGGATAGAGGGAAAGATGAATGCTTCAATGTACAGAGACATCCTGATAGAAAACTTGTATCAGAGTGCTCTTGACCTCAGACTAGGGTGATGGTTCTATCAGGACAATGACCCAAAGCACACCACCAAAATATCAATAGAGTGGCTTCACAACAACTCGGTGAATGTCCTTGAGTGGCGCAGTGGAATTTAGTCCATTTTGGAATAAGGCTGTAACATAAAAAATGTGGAAAAATTGAAGCGCTATGAATACTTTCCAGATGCATTGTAATGGCAAATAACTGCACTGTGGATATCCTGAATTTTAATCCAGGCATGAAGAGCTTTCCTGATCCCATCTCCCTCTTTCTGTTAAATCTCGCTTCATGTCAACATAATGTTCATGCAAAAATGCCAAAAACGTTTTATTTTTAATTTTATTTATAGTGCACCTTTAATGTTTATTTTTAATGACCAAAATGGAATTAAATTCAACTCAATTCAATTCATGTTTATTCATAGTGCTTTTACAATGTCTAGCAATTTACCATAGTTGTAGTAAATTGAAACTGTCAGTCAAATTTTCATAGTTGACTCATCAAAGAGCCCCTATTTTTCATTATAAAAGGTCATATTTTGGTGTTGGAGGTCTCCAACAACAGGCTGATATGCAAGCAAGGTCAAAAAAAACTTTCATTGTCTTATAATAGGCATTTATTTTTACCTAATTATCCCAACAACTCCCATATTATTTGTTCAGCAATTCCTTTGTTCCGAAACCCGTCCATTGCATGATCCTAATCTGTGCTGATTGGACTGATGACTTAAGCTGTGGTCACACCAGAGTTTGAACTTGCAAAATTCTGTTGTACGGCTCTGCGAAAAGGGGCAGGAGCAAACAAGATGATTAGACGTTTAAAAAGCGAGCGATTGCTCCACGTTTTAGATTCGTGTCCAGAGAAGTCATGTTTTGATCCTAGATTGGTCTCACGCAGTCTAGTGATGCGAATTCGCAGGTCAGAGTTCACCAAGCTTGAACTTTGCACCACAGCAACCTGTGAAACTTTTCTGTTTGGAGTTTGCACGTTCTCCCTGCGTTTGCATGGATTTTTTTGCATTTCCTCCACAGTCCAAAGACATGCGGTACAGGTGAATTGGGTAGGCTAAATTGTCCGTAGTGTTTGAGCGTGTGTGTTTGTGGATGTTTCTCAAAGATGTGTTGCAGCTTGAAGGCATCCGCTGTGTAAAAACTTGCCGGATAAGTGGGTGGTTCATTCTGGTGTGGCGACCCTGGATTAATAAAGGGACTAAGCCGACAAGAAAATTAAGTGAAATGAATTTGCCTAAAGAAGGTTGCTGGTTCGAGTCCTGGCTGGGTCAGTTTGTATTTCTGTGTGGAGTTTGCATATTCCATGTTATGAGTTTTTTTTTCTTTTTCTTTTTGTTGAAAACACAGGGCCCTATCATACACCCGGCGCAGTGTGGCACAAGGCATGACGCAATTGTTGTTTGCTAGTTTCAGGTTGGCGCAAGAGTCATTTTGACATTTTGCACCACGCTGTTTAAATAACAAATGCATTTGTGGTCGTATGTGCACCCATATGTGTTCTGGTCCAAAAAAGGAGGTGTGTTGAGGCGCATTGCTGGCGCGTTGCTATTTTGAGGAAATTAAATAGAAGATCAGATCAAAGCTGGTCTATTGTCCAGCGCAGAGCGCGTTAAAACATACTCTCATGCCTTCTTCATCTCGGGGGGCTTTTTTAGTTTATTCATAACAATTAGCTTTGTATAATGTTATTATTATTAGCACTATTATTTATTATATGCACATTTATTTTTGTTTTATTAAAAACAAGCTTAGATTTGTCCACTTGTCAGGTTTTAGACCATGTAAGGCACAGCATGTGTATTAGGATATAACTCAGTTCCCCTTCGGAGGGGGAACTTCAATGCTATAAGTGAATTTTAATCCACCAATGGGGATTTCATTTCAGAAAGCCAATTGTCTGAAAGAGTATATAACGGGCCAATGAAATGCCAAATGAGTTGGCAGCCTAAGCTTGCGCACGTGTGGCTTATTGCAATTAACTCCGCATATAAGCACAGGGAAAGCAAGGAAATGCTATACTTTTTGCTTCAAAGACTGTTACAGCCTTCTGAGAGAGTCGATGAGGGTTCCTCCTGCTGTGATCCAGCGATTTTGAGCGAACAAGAGTAGTCTCCCGGTCCAAAGTGTGTACACGCAGCGGCAGACGGTCGAGATGGGTTTCTCCCTTGCCTGGCGCTCTTTGGGTCCGGTCCTCCAGAGCGGTGCGTATAATGTTACAAATTTCACAAAAAGAGCAACACAGTTGTGCAGCACGTCCTTTTTAGGATGGCGCTCCGACCGTGCGTTTCTGGATGCGGTTGATTTCCTGTCCCGGATGATGGGCACGAGCACTGCGTTGCATGTCTGGGGGTCCAGCATGTTAATGCGGTGCTCGCGGGCAGTTCATGTCGTCATTGCGATGCCATGACTGTTGCGCAGTTAAGATCGCGGCTAGCCTTTGCAGAAGGGCGAACCACCCCAGCTGTCCCCTGCACTGCAGCTGGCACTCGGGCAGATCTGAGGGTTCCAGTGGGAGATTATCCGTTACCTCCGGGCCCGCGGACCTCCCGCTCCTCCAAGGGCTCCATCCAAGCTTCGAGCGGAGGAAGCGATCCCTCTAACCAGATGGTAGCCCTTACGTTTGATGACACCGGGAACCAGACGTCCACTGCTGCATCAGAGGGTGGGCTTTCATTGTACTACGAAAATCCAGGCCCGCTCGCCCACCTCGGGCAGTTGAGCGCTGTCAAAATGGATCCTGAAACGGACATGTTAGCCGTGCTTTCCTGGGCTGCTTCGGCCGTGGGGTTGGAGATGGTTTATCCCCCAGCTCCGCGGCCGGACCAACTAGATTGGTGCTACGTAGAGGACCAGAGGGCTAAGCCTTCAAAGCCTCTCGTCCCCTTCTTACCGGAGGTGCACAGTAGGCAGTCTTGCACCTTTCTCTGCCCATGCTGCGTGTTCCTCCGCCCTAACCACTCTTGACGGTAGAGCGGCCAGGCTGCTTCTGCCTTGCACGCTATGGCCACCTACCAGTGCTACCAAGCGCAGGCGCTGGCCCGGCTGCACAAGGGTGGGACGATGTCCACATAAGTGGTCCAGGAGTGCTACCTCTGGCTAAACCTGGCTGATATGTGCAAAGTCAAAAAAGTCCGCTTTCTTGACTCCCCCATATCCCAGGCTGGCCTGTTCGGTGACACCGTCGGTGAATTCACCCAGGAATTCAAGGCGGTGAAAGAGCAGTCTGATGCGATGGGTAATATCATCTATCGGCGGGAAGGTAAGCCCGCTTCGCCCGCCCAGCCATTCATATCTGCTGCTCCTCGCCGAAGGCACCTGTCTACATGAGCTGCATCTCCCCCGCACACGCCTCCGGCGAAGCGGGCGTG